TATATATATAGTATATCAAAAGAATATAAAAGATGATTGTTGTGAAAAACATGATTTTTCTAAAGATGAATGACAGTTTCTCAGTAAAACCTAAACAATTCCYTGGACAAATACACATCAGTAATTCACTGACGTAAAAGAAAATGTAAAGTAGTCAAATAAAAGTAAAATAAATATCTGCATTATGTCTGGGTACATTTTTCTGAAGCTTTTTTCTTTTCATTTTTTTTTTCTCATGGAGCTCGTTAAGGCTCATTTAACAAGGGTGTGTTTCTTTCACTGATTTTGGAGCTGTGTTTATGGACCAATCCTTTCCCCTCTGAACAATCTCCACCTCCTCCTACTTTGTCTCATTGTGGTGACTGAGATAACAGTTTGATTGCCAAAAAAAAAAAAAAATAAATAAAGTGCAACTCCAGTTTTTGGCTGCAGTAAAAATTCAGCCACCCTGTTTTTGTAGACTGTCTGCACGGCTGATGTTGTTTCTTTTATTTTTTTAACGAGCTGCCTGAAAATTGTCAAAGCCCTCAGTGAAAAGAATGCAAATTGCTCACAGACGCATTGGCCRTTCATCAGAAGCAGGTCAGCTGCCTGTCAGCCACTCAGCTGGTGGCACAAATTAAATAACAGGTGAATTTCTCCTTTTAAATGTAACTCAACATTTGTCCTGATGCATCTCAGTAATCCAGGTAGAAAAAATCAAAAAGAAAAAATAAGTAGGTCYTCTGGATGGGTTCTTGGAAAAAAGAGCTTATTTTGTTTGAAGACTTGCATTATAATGAAAATACAGAGAAAACTATCATTTAATAAGCTTTGACTGAAACATGCAAGTGTTGTTTTTTTCTGTTTAAACGATTAAGGACTCACTCAGCATTGAGAAATCTGACGTTTGTCTTGAAATGTTATGATCACAGTAGGAGGGGCTGCCAAGATAAAAACAATTGAATGGAAAAAGTAAGGAAGGAAATGGTTCAGAGAAGCTGAAAGAAATGTGGAAAATAAAATGTAAGAGGGTGGGAAGTGAAGAAGGTGAGGAGGAGGAGCCAAAATTGATGAAATTCCTTCAGTGATAATGTTTTTTTTTTCTCTGTCATGCAGAATGTAGCAAGTGACAAAGACGGAGTGACTGTGAAGGTGTCAATATCTTTAAAACACTTGGCATTTAGTCAATTAGAAAGAGCTAATTGTTGCCTCAGTCTTTACTCTCATCTTTCATCCTGGTGGCCAAAAATGTCTCGTCATGAGAAGACAGTTGAGGTCTGCCAAAAAGGAAATAGCTTTGGTGGGCATGCATCCAAAACTACAGCGTGCTGCTGCAGTGAGTCTTTTTATTACATAAAATATACTCTTAAAGGGCAGCAGCTTCTGAGAAATAAAGGAGGGAGAAAGAGAATTCTGCTTTTATTGCACTATTATCTATGCTTCTACTGCTGGGGCATGTATTCTGTATGACCAAACTGGAAGATAAACATATTCAATTCAAAACTAGCACACCACCTTGCATGGCAAAACTTCTCATGGATGACTCTCTGGCAAATTTTAGCTCAATATTTGCCAAATTGATTGAATTATGGCAATAAACACACACTCACACACACAGGTAATAAAAGTTCAACAATTCACTACAAGTGTATGATTGTAAACTGCTACTAAGTGACACAAGTAGTTTAAAGCATATCAAAATAAAAGGTTTATTTCCCCATTTTCACTTTTCACCATCACCTGTAGGTGGCACACTCCTCCTGGCAGAGCTGTTAGGTTCAGTGTGGAGACCTGTGGCTTTGGCTGAAACTCTGTTGTGTATGAGGCCATTGTATAATTGAGGCAAAGATAGCATCTCTCCGTAGACATCACCTTTATAGGCACAGAGAGTCCAATGTTTGTGTCTAACAACCCATGAATAGGAGTTCTGCAGCTGGCTAAAAACTCCCACAAMCTCTAACAAGTCTCTCAACTCTGGGTTTGTTCCTTCCAGATTTTTTTTACAGTTTCCAGCCCAGTTAGCTAAAGTTGGAAGCTGAAAGTTCTCGGTTCGGACCCATGTGTCGGTGAGAAGTTTCAACCATCTCTTCGGTGGTGCATGAGATTTCTCTGAGTTCTCCTCGTTCTTCCATCAGTTCAAAGACATTTTTAAAAACGATTCTTAACTTCTATACATGTGCATTTTTATATTTGTGCAATCTCATCTTTTCTTACTGTTAATAGGCAATAGGCAACAGGCT